GAAGTCATCAGTGGCTTGAAAGGAGGGAACAGACATCATCAGCATCTGTTTTTCAGAAGGCTCACTGGCAGTTACGTGAAGGAAGGCTTGGGTTAAAAGTGATGGGTGTGACCAAGGCCAGTTAGCAGGATACCGAAATTGTGCATGAAAAGCCTATGAAGACGGTGGGAATGGGGACAGGGAGGAGGGCCCACGTTTGAGAGACATCCCTGAGGTGGGAGCAACAGGGCTTGATGACTAATTTGAAGTGCATGGTTGAGAAGGAAGGAAGACTTGAAGATGACTGAGTTTCTACTTTGGAAAGCTGAGTAATCGGTGATGTCAGTGACTGAAAGAGGAATGGAAGGGAGGAAATCTATGGTAGGCCCAGCAGAAGCTTTACATGTGTCATTTCATCCTAAACACAGGAACGATGAAAAGATTAAGATGTCTATTTTACACATTAAACAACTGAGGTTCAGTGAACTTAAGTTACTTGCTCAAGGTCACACAGATGGTAAATAAAAGAGCTGGGGTCTTATGCCAAAACCCATGTATTTCCATGATAGGATTCTACACTTTGATAATCATTTTAGTTTGGAAAAGTAGGACTGGGGATTAGGGGAAAGGTAGAGCTAGAAACATGGTCCTCTCAGAGGAAGAATGGCAAAAAGTGAAGAAAGATTCCCTTATACCAGGGATGAAGAAATACAGCAGCAAAGTCCCATAACATTTTCTGCAGTGAAAGAAATGCTTTATACTTGCACTGTCCAATCAGTAGCCATTAGCCCGTGTGGCTATGAGGTACTTAAAAGGTGGCTAATTTGACTGAGGAACTGAAATTTTAATTAATTAATTAATTAAAATTCAGTGTATGTGGCCAGTGTCTATCATATTAAATAGTTTAGGACTAGAGCGACCAGCCAGACATGGAGACAGTCCATCAGAGGGGAGGCATTGCTGGTATCTCCTGAAACATCACTAGGTATTTGATCATCTGCCTCACATCTGTGGGGTAAGATTGGTCCCAGGTTTGGGGACCACAGTTAGGAAGGACAACAAAATAGTATTACCAGGTCTTATCTTTGGAACAAGAGCCAGTCTCATACCCCACTTCCTTTCTAATATGAGATAAAAATCACAATCATTTTCTCTGTATTTATATTTTTTGTACAGAGTGTGAAGAGCTTGAGATCCAGGCAAACGCCAGGGTTCAAATCTGGGTTTGTCACTGAATGTGTTGTGTCTTGAGTTTCTTAGCTCACATTCTCAAACTTCACTACCACTACCTGTAAAATAGGGATAACGGTAGTCTCTCACTCATAGGGTAGTTGTAAAGATTAAGTTAAATAACTTCTGTAAAACACTTAGCTAATATCTGGCACATGCTAACCACTCAGTAAAAATTAGCTATTCTGTAACTAGTAACTTGTGATGAGTTTGTACTTTGCACCTCTGTATTTTGACATTTACCCGACTCTATTTTTACATAAGTAAAGACATTCTCCCAGATCTGTAAATGTTAGAACATTCTAAAAAGAAGTACACATTCATCAAGATAAAAAGGTGGATAGGATTCTAAGAAGTTATCTTATTGTGGCATGTGTTTTACAGTTATTTTTGTATTTCACTTTGATTCCCATTTTGTTAAAGTATTTTAAATCAGTTGCTAGCAATGGCAACTTATAACCCTTATTGTTTTGTTGTGATCATCATTAAAATTCCTTCGGTTTCACCTCAAACAGTTCACACACCAGATGATCAAGCAAAAATAGTAGAGATTCTAAGTGTTGACTCAAAAGATTCCTTGATGTCTTGAGGTTCTGAAAAAATTCAGACTACTTTAGTTGAAATGTTTAATGCCTAGTCTCTGGTTATCTTAGAAGTGATTGGATAGATCAAGGACTATTTAAAGACTAATGACTTCAGTGTAGGAACAAGTAATAGGATCCCTTTTGTTGCCATCGATTTTGTACTTTGTAACCTCTGGATTGAATAAACAGCACTGTAATGTAGTCTTGCACTCTCTGCAATGTTTGTATAAAAAATACATTTAAAAAATTAGACTAAGGTGTCAAGAAATCTATGTTCAAGTGCCAGGTTTACCTTTTTGGGACACAGAGAGATAAACGTCCTCTGTAAAATGTGTTGATCTAGACTTAATTCTAGAATGATCTAAATATCCTTCTAACTAAAATTTCCTCAATCTGCATTTTCCTTTTCCCTTTGGCCTTAGAGATCTTCCAAAGCTAATTTTTACTTTCATGATTTTATAAACATGTTCTTGGAATATTCTTGTAATACATCATTTCTTTGGAAAACAATTCATTGGTGAGTCAGCACGAAGAAAAAAAAAACCATCACAAAAGATATCAAAATTGCATGAGGTGGAGAAACAAGAAATGATTTTCTTTTTAATCTGAAATGATGAGGTATAGAGAAACCAATTACTTATTTATAAAATGAGTGCATGGTGGAAGGCTTTATGTAGCCGAGCTAACGAGCTGTTACTTATTTAGCAAGACGGAGTCCTCGCCATACTGCCTTAAAACTATTTACTATAATCGTTCTTTTCAGTGAGGGAGAAAGGAAATGTGTGTTGGGAGGTGGTTGATGGAAGGAAAGAAGGAAAGAAGGACGGAAGCAAGAAGGAAGGAAGCGTAGGACGGTTTGAAGCCTCGTCCCCACCCCACCTCCAGCCCCCGCCCGTCTTCTCTGGAAACAGATAATTAAGGGAATTTCCTCCCGCAGTTCCGAACGTTCAGTGGCCGTTCCCACGTCACTATTAGGGCAGCCAGGGATTTTGCTTAAGCGGTGACTTCCCAACTCTTCCTGTGGATCCCCCGTGGGGCGCCTAAAGTCGCCCTCCGCCCTAGGCGGAATCGGACGACCGACTAGGAGGCTCGCTACCCCGGCGGAGGCGGGTGTGGGGTGGGCGTGCACGGTCTCGGGGTGGGTGCAGAAGCGTTTCCAGGGTGAGCACGGTGGCCGGGCGCGTTTCCGGAAGGCTGATTGCATCAGGTGTGGAGCTGGGCGCCTCCTCGGCCCAACCTGGCGCTACTGCGCCTGCGCGCGTCGCCCCGCCCAGTGGCCAAGCACTCCAGCGCGGGTTTTCCTCCCGGTCTGGAAGAGACCGAACCGGGAGGGGCGGGTACCGTTTACCGCCCCAGGACCCTACAGAGAGGGGGTAGCAGGGCGGGACTCCTGGGGAACCGGGGCGAGATCTGGGGTTCGAGGGAGTAGAGTGCTGCGTAGTGGGCCTGCCTGGAAGGCGGGAGCCTGGTCTCCTCCCAGCTAGTGGTGGATAGGGTGGTCTTGGGTTAATTTCCTCACCTCTCTGGGCCTGAAGGACTTGGGTTAGAGCTAGAAGTCTTTCCAGTTTGGAGCCAGCATTTTCCTAAAGTGTGTTAAATTTCCCAAGTGGGCTGCCGACTTTCCATGGGCAGATCTTGGGGTGCAGAGACTCAGCCCCAAGGGTGAGCACTTCCATGGATTTCTCAATGGCAATATTGTTTTTCTGTTGCGGGAAGGAGTGACAGGACTGTTGACCTCCACATGGGTCTGAGGGAAATTGTGCCAACGTCAGAAAAACCTCTTTCCCCCGCTATTCATGGCCTCCAACTCCATTCTGAGTCTGCCTCAGGGTCCCATGATACGCTTTTATGCAGACCTAGTAGATTGCCTTCTAGCATTCTCCATGTTTGAAATGACATTTTTGAGTGATTCTTCGATGGGTATCTGTCTACCTAGCTGGATTGCAAGCTCTATAAGGGGAGGGTCTGAGTTTTTTCACTCATTGCTCTCCCAGGCTTACTGTAAGACCTTGTGGATGGTCAATAAATTCACCATGTTTGAAGGAATAAAGTAATTCCCACTCCAGCCTCCCGGAGTCCTCACTTAGAGAATAAGGACCATCTGGTGTGAGTTTGCTATGTGAGGAAGGAGTGCATTCTGAGATTTGGGGATAAGGATGAGCCATCGGTTCGTTGTTGCCATGAATTTTAGTATAATTTTCCTGGAGGAGATCATAGGTAGGGCTGTGTGTATGTGTTGAGTAGAGTGGTTCTCTAAGTGTGGTCCTCAGACAGCAGCACCAGCATCACCTGGGAGCTTGTTAGACATACAGATGCTTGGACCCCTCCAAAGACCTGCCCCCAGAGACTCTGGGAGTGGGACCCAGCAAGCTGTTTCCCTAACCCCTGCAGGGGAATCTGACTCAGGCTCAAGTTTGATAACCACTGCACTGGGGAAGAGCAACCCTCAGGATGCTCTGGGGATGTCATTCAGTCTCCGGGCAGAGCCCCAATTAACACTTTCGGAGTGCCCCGTCCTTATCAGGACCTTGCTTGCCTGCTTATAGTTGAGTTAAAGGTAACTTTCCTCGGGGTGAAAAGTAAATGACGCTTTTTCCCTCCTGCAGGTGTATTTTGTCCCCTGAGGGGATCTTGCTGTGACTTTCACATCAAATAATAGTGTGTGTGTGTCTAGCAAGTGCGAACGGCTCTGGATGAGCAGGCAGAAGGAAGGATGTCTCGCCTACACGTTTGCGGCTGTGAGGGTGTGGGCAGCTCTCACCTGGGGACATTTTCCCATTATGAGGGAATGCAGACAGTAGAAAAGACTAGCCAGGGATAAGGTTACCCAGCTGCCTTTTAATGCAGACAGATGCCAGGCCACATGGAAGAGATACCCGGCTGCACCCTGACTCCGGGCAGGAATTTGGGTCTCCACACCCTAGGCCCCACCACCTACTCGCCACCTTCCCAGGTGATGGGGGGAACCCCGCGTTTCAGAGGGCCCGCAGCCTCTGCCTGCAGAGGTCGCACTAGGAGCGCGGCCCGCCCCCTGCTCCCTGGCCCCCGCCCCCGGCCCCGCCTTTCTCCAGTTCAGCCCCCGCCTGGCGGGGCCCCTCCAGCCTCTCCTCGCGCAGCCGCCGCCAAAGCCTGGAGAAGTGGAATCTCGCTGGCGTCGCTCCCAGCGCGGGACTCGCGGAGCGGCACTGGGCATGCTCAGTCGCCGGAACCCGTCCTGGTCTCAAGTAGGAGGAAGCTCGTGTGCTGCACCCGCAGCTGATCCGGGCGCCTGGTGGAGGGCGAGATTGGAGCAGAGCTGTCGGGTGCCGTAGCCGAGGCGAGCACCGCGCACACCACCGGTGAGCCTCGCTTTCTTCCTTGCTTTTGCCCTGGACCCCGCGGCGGCCCGGGAGCGCTGGCGAGGGACCCGGGCAGGGGCGTGCGGTGAGTGGCTGTGCGTAGTCCCAGCGGCTGCTCCTCTTCTGGTCCCGAGGGCTGCGCGGCCACTGCCGCCCTCCCAGCCGCAGCCACAGCTGCTGCAGCTGCCGCCGCATCTGCAGCGGGCGCCAACCCGCTACGAGTCCCGTGCGCCCTGCGCCCGTGCCGCAGGGCCGGGTGGCAGGGCGATTGCGGGCTCACTCCTTGACTTGCATCCCTCCTGCTTCCCGGCGCCGTCTTTCCCTCGGCAGCCCGGGCTTGGCGGGGCCTGGGGCGGCGGAGACAGGCTTGGAGTGGGTGCGCCGGGGTGGGGGTTGCGGAGGGGAAAAGTGAGGGTGGGCGCCGGCGAGGAAGAGCGCACACCCCCTATCCCTGGCACCGGCCTTCGCTGTGCGGCTGGGCTCCCCCGCCTGGGGCGGCAGCGCGCTCCTGCCGGGGAGTTGGAGACGGGGCTGGCTTCTCGGGGTTTCAGACACCAGCCTATGAGAGATCAAAGGGGGGAAAAGTTCATTTCTCCCCTCGGAGGCAGAGAGGGTATTAACTAGAAAATGGCTGTGCGAAGGGGGCGAATCAGGAAAGCTGGCCATTGGGTGCAGAAAGCCCCTCTGCTGCTCGCGGGGCGGAATGGAGGATTGAACGCTAGAGATGACATTTGTGCGAGGAAAGCCTTGCTGGACCGAGGCAGGGATGCGGAGCGGAGTCCCGTAGAAACAATGAAAGGTGGTCTCAACCTCGGGGGCACTGAGCGAGCGCGAGCTAGCGGAGAAGTCAGGGGGAAAAGGCTGAGGAGGCGTGGGACTTGAATTCAAAAGATAATACATTGGAGAAATCAGATTGAGAGTTGGAGCCGTTTTGTAGTCCAAGTTCTGCGCGGCTCAGAGGCACGACTGTCAGAAACGTTTTTGGCTGGAACGAGTGGCTGGAGAGGGCCAAGACTGGGGAGAAGAAGGTCAGTGTCGCAAGCTCTGACAAGACTGGGCTCTGGGAGGGCGCAGTTCTGTTTAGGAAGTCTCTCAGCCACTGGCTTTATTTACATTGTACCTGATGACTTAGGTGAAATGCCTAAAGGATGATCATGCAGTGATATCAGCGGTGGTGTAGGAATTCCAAGAAAGGAGGAAACTTTGTGAGATTGGCATGGGCTTGTCATTTGTTTTAATATATCACTGGTTTTTGGGTTTTTTTTTTTTTGTTTTTGTTTTTTTTTAAAAAGAACAACTGTGGCATCTCGATCTGTGGTTCTGCATTTGGGTCTATTAAATCTTTGATTTTTTTCTTTTACCCTTGTCGTGGATTTATATTTCAAACGTTGTCCTCACATGTCCATCTGAATTCATGTAGCTGGCCTCTCCGGAACAGGCAATCCTTGAGAGGGTATTTCTCTATGAACATAGGTAGCAGCTTTGTTGTATTTTCAGTTTGTAGCTTGAAAGCACTATTCGCTCAACACTTGTTTGTTGTAACTTGCAGAATCCTAGAAACTGTTTTGAAAGGATGACGTTTGTCAAGAGGATGGGGTACCTCCTCGCTGGGGAAAATGCTGAGAGAACACAGGGGGCAGCAGAGTACAGTGGGCGGGTAGCAGAACCCCAGGGGGGAGACAGATGCAGGGCTTCCACGCTGTCCTTTTGTCATCGGTGGGAAAAATCACTCAGGGTCTGCAGAACCCAGGGTGTCCCGAGGTGTTTGCTCAGAGGCTTTGGGAAAGGACTCTAAAGTTGAGATTCTTTTCCAGGGACGGTGTTTATGTCTCATGCTGTTCTCTCTTCCAAAGTATACTTTTAACTAAGCGGTTTGCCTCCATGGAGCCAGTGCCATCCCTCTTTCTGAAACTTTTATCAAGTGGTAGTGGAAAGGCTCGGGAAGCTTAAGCGTATAGACTGGTGTTTTACACTTAACTTCAGTAATGTGAATATTGGCTACAAAGTTATTTAAGAAAAGTCTACTAAACATTGCAGGACTCCACCTGTACAAAAATAAAATATTTTAAAACTGATACTCTTTTTATGCCATGTTTAAACTTTTGATGACTGTCAACTGTTTTCTTTTCCTGCCTCTAGAAAAACAATAAACATTGCATCTTTTTTTTGTTATAGCAGGAATTAATACTGAAAACCTTGCCCCATAGCATTAGAATAGTGTTATGTTGATTACCCTGAATTGATGACATCTAAATTTGTCTTTTAAGAAAAAAATGCAATGTCGTCTCTGTATGCCTTTTTCAGTTACACTTTTAAAATAAAATACAATATCCTGACGATATAACATCTTAAAGTTTCTGGGAGAGGAGGACAGACTTTTAGGAAAGTATATCAAGAATATATTTCTAGGTACATGGGTGATGCTTATATTCTTGCTCTGGGTTAAGGAAATAAGCATTTGTTCAATGCTTCTTATGTGTCAAGTCTACTTTTAAGCTCCTTACATATATTATCTAATGTGTCAGTATCTTTGACATAAATGTCACCTCTCAAGAAAACCCCTCTGAGAAGGTGGGGAGCTCTTTGATTGTGTAGCAATAGAACTTTAAAGTTGTATCTCATATGAGAATATCTTCGACTGGTATCATTATTATTCATTAAGCATCCTCTTGTAAAACATCTTTGATTTGTGATTTGCAATTAGTTTTGATTGGAACAGCCTGTCTTCAAAATGATCTGAAAAATTGTAAGAAGCTTCCATCTAGATTTAAAAACTGCTTTGTATTTTCAACAATGTTGTGCTACGAACAAATAAACTTAAATGCAAGGAAAATAAATCCAGATTACCCATTTTCATCTTAATGTTTTATTAGGGCGCATTCTGCATGTTGATATGTGTTGGTGGCATTTCTCTTAGTTAAAATGGTTTTTCAGTGCCAGATCCTCCATAATTAAGAGTCTAGTGAGATTTGGTGGAAAGACCACCAACCAGGGGCTCCCAATACTTGTCTTCTGGTCCAGGCACATTCACTATTTTAATGTACTGTGTGACCTTGGGGAAGTCAGAATACTTCTCTGGGCCTCAGTTTTTCTCATCTGTAAAATGAGCAGTTACTACAGAATGCACTCTCTGGGTATCTGTTGGGTTCTTCTTGTCCTGGTCCAAGGGTCTGTGATACAGCCATTTGATGAGTGGGGACTTCATTTAAAGTTTTAGAAGAAGCCAATTTTATGTTTCACTAAGTCTGGCCTGTCCAGCATTATCCACTGCTCTTCCTTTTTTGTCCAATTCCTGCCTCCCTTTTAGTTTTAATTTGTTAAAGAATGTTCTAAAATTAACTCTTTGTGCCCCTACCAAGGCGAGGTAGTAGATAAAGTAATGAGTAGATTTGGATAAAGCACACTGGATATTTAAAACTTTGATAGCATCTTCTGAGGGGAGATGCTGCTCTTGGGCAACCTGAGAAAGAAGCCTCCATGGGGACTGCAGAGGAGGGGGTCCTGTGCCTTGGTTGCTGGGGCCCATCCACATGACATTTTGTGTGGTAAGCCTTTCATGTGTCCCTGTCCTTTGTCTTCAGCCCTCAATCAGAGAGCAAAGGACACTGTTTCGAGTGCACTTTGCTTTCAAGGTGGTCGCAAAACTCAGCCTCTTTAACCTTTAAGTAAGGTGGGTGAGGAGAAGGCAGAGTTCCCTCTATTTAAATAATTGATATTAGTGGACAGTGAGTCTGGAGTTTCTGATCAGAACCATCCTCCAGAGTTTCCTGGGCCTCGGCTAGGAGTGGAGTAGTCACTCTGAACGCGAGATGAGAGGTGGAAGAGAGGAAGGACAGAGAGGGCAGAAAGTCAGGTCATCACGGCTTGGCTTGGCGAGAAGAAGCCTGAGTTGGCAGTCGGTATTAGAGACCTTTGGGTGAGGAGGCATTCCCTTTCTACATATTCTTAATTCCATAATGTATGAATCTTACCTGGACTAGCACTGACAGTTGCTAGGGTAGGCCTTGCTTTCATCATCAGGAAACAAGCCCCAATGTGTAATTTATTGGTATATAAAATATCCAGATTCATATGGACCAAGAGGGGAAGAGAACGTAGAAAAAAATGAATGGTACAGAGTTATGATTAAAATTTTTCTGTATTTATTAATGATTTGATAGTGGTTATAAATAGTGAACTATTCTGTCCTTTGCCTCTTACAGAAATCTTGCAAAATTTGGTCTGCTTGGTAATAACTGAGGTTTTTGAAGCATATTTTTGCCGGAAAGTATGCTTTGGGAATGCTTAGAGTGAGAGGAAGAGTGGTTTTGTTTCTTCCTTTTTAAAGTTGCCTGAAAAGAGTGTGGTTTTGGAATTGAGCTAGAAGTGTGCGCTTAGGCAGATGAGGTTGGGGAGAATTTGCAGAGCTCCAGAGAGCGAGGGGAAATGCCCTTGTTGAAGAAGGAAAGCCTGAATTACTGGTGGGATGTAACATTTACCAAGCTGATGCCCACTGAGTCAAAGTTTAGATCCTGTACAATTTAAAAGTAACTGAGTGTCTACTGTATGCAAAGCACAACGCTAGGCTGAGTGTCTGTTGGTGATGTTTTTGCTGTCCTTATCCAAATGATAATGATGATGGTGCAGTGAATATTTCATAAGTGTGTTCAAATGAGAAGATTGTTCCTTTTCTCTGAGATTATATCCTTCCGATTTGGGGTTAATTTTTTTTTTTTATGAATTGATGGGAATATTTTTACTTGGCAGCTTAATGGTCCATGAAATTGATAAGTCTGGGAATCCAGGCCTGAGATGTAGACAGCCCAGCCCTCAGGATCAAGTTGAAGAGTGGAGGCCAGGTCAAAATGGAGCTTGTGGGTGGGCGGATGGAGCCTCTGGGCCTTCCAGGAATGTAGTCACTGGTACAGACCCAAGGTCCTAGGAGAACTGAGAAGAAACTAATTTTGAAAGTGCTCTGGGAACCAGCGAATATTTTTGAATTATAGCCTAAGAATGACAAA